TAATAGTAGTAGTGGTAGTAGTAGTACTACTACTACTACTACTACTACTACTACTACTGCTACTACGACTAGCCGCAGCAGGAGCAGCAGCAGCAGCAGTCGTGGTGGTGGTAGTGGTAGTAGTACTAGTAGTAAGAATCATAATAATAGTACAGTAGTAGCCAGTAGTAGCTATACTAGCAGCGGCAGTATACTAGTAACCGGACAATCACGAGGATGAGGACGAGAAAGACAACGCCGACGGAGACGACGACGCCGACGACGACCACGCAGACGACGAGGACAACGACGACGACCACCACCACCACGACAACGACCAGGACAACTAAGCACTCGGAATACTTCCAATAATCATACACACGATGAGACGTTCAACTTGGGCAGTTTTCATGTTCAGAATGCTTCGGCAAAGCAGGGCAAGGCATAGATATTGTACTCTACCTGAAGCAGTGAACCCCCCGACCAAAGCGCGGGGGTGTGAAGCCGCTGCATTTAGGCACACGACCCGTGCTTCGGATTGCACTCGGCTGCTACCCCTCCCCTACGCGGCCTCTAGCAGGGACTGCAACGAAGGTCAGCCCGGTCGCCATGGCTTCAACGACGCGTTGGATGACGGCAACGATAACACCAATATGAACGGCATATGCTGACAGCAACTGATATCAATGCGCAAGAATTTTTGTCACTATGAGTCAACACCACCATCACACCTGACACACAAAAAAATGTGAGAATGAAGCTTAAAAATCAGCCTGCGTAACGTATCCGGACTGCCAACAGTTAACAACTGACATAACTTTTCGATCTGTCGAATGATACATAATCCCCCGGCTGAAGACTTTGGCTGATACAACCGTAACACGCCCGGCTGAATCTAAGCGTGCAATCAAGCTGGGAGCAAAAACACAAGCAGCGAGCATGCATGAAGGTGCAAAAATGTCTTTGGAGTCAAGGTGGTTTTGCACGCAGGGCTCAAATCTTGTGATGCTACCAGAGCCAAGAGCCCGTAGTTGCTAAGGTACCGCTCCGGGACGCAGGGCTAAGGGTCCTTAGAAGGGCAAGCTGAGGGTTTACATGTTTGCCCTTCCAAGAGTTGGACCGCTTACTATAATCGCATGATAAAGTGCAAACCCTGAGACCATGAGCCCTCAATGAAAAATCGAACCTATACGCCCAAAACGGCCCGAAACCAAAACCCCAAGCTGTAAAATCCTTCCAATTCCAAAACCCATGCCGCAAACTCCTAAACCCCAAGACCCCAAATGAGCTCTGGCTTCGTAGAGAAACTCCTGAAGCTTCCGGCCTCCCTCGCAAATGGCTCGCTTTGGGAGAGGGCTGTCCTCCGGTTCCATGGTGAGAGTGAGAAGGCTTTGGGGGTTTAGGGTCTAGGGCCGTAAGCTCAAGGTTTAGCAGTTTAGAGTTTAGGAGCTTGGGGGTTTAGGGTTTGAGGTTTAGGACTTTAGAAGTTCAGGCTTAGCGGTTTGGAGGGTTTGGGGCTTGGGGCCTATTAGGGTTAAGAGTTTAGGAGTTTAGGGGTTTAGGGTTTGGCGTTTGAGGGTTTGGGGCGTGGGGGTTTAGGGTGCAGGGATTTAAGTTTAGGATTTTAGGGGGTAGGATTTCTGGCATCGAAGGAAGAGCATAAACGGATAGCATGAAGAGCAGGAGGCATGGAGGAGAGTCCTGACAGTGGCGAAACTCGGACTACGTCTTGCAGCAAGACTGTCGTCCGCTCCAACAAACCCACGTCTGCTTCGCTTCTAAACGTCTTGCGCATCAGCAAGCGCTACTCGGGGCCGTGGACTATAAGGTTGACACAGTGCCCTCTGCGAGCCCGCCATGCGTTGCCGCCAACAGCTCAGACGAAGCTTGGACATGGTTTCAAGCCATCCGATGAAGCTCTTATGTCAATGTTATGATTAAATCCCAAACCTAGAGTTTGGAAGAAAAACAGCAAACCAAGCCTTTACTTTCCAAACTTCCCCCACCCCCTTCGCCCTGCCTGGCCGACCTTTCCGGGCCCGGTGCTGAGGAGGCAGGCCCGCATCCGCCACGCGCTGTGCCCGGGCCTCTCGTTGGATTTTGGAGGCCTATTGGAAGGGTGTGATCGTGTTTGGGGCTTTGGGGTTTTCGGTTATGTTGTTGGGTGTCGGTTCCATAATTTGGGGGTCTCAACAAAAGCCCTGTTCTACAGATGTTGACCGATCAGGGTCGAGCTGCCTCTTGCGCAAGAGGCGTAGGACTTGTTTTAAAGTTGGCGAAAAGCTACACTTTTGTCGATTTTCTTGGTGCCTACTATTGCTAACTTTGAGTTCATTGCCGTTGTCGCTGGCCACGCGCTCTAACTCCCGAATGCTCGGAAATCCCACTTCACACCTTCCAAATGAGAAGGTCAGGGCCTATATTATACATGTTCCTCCAAACCCGACACTACCCCAAAACCCTAGCCGCTGAAACCATAAACCCGAAACCTTAATGCCCTAAGGCCCTAAGACGAATGACTGTGGAAATGGTCCGGGATTTCGTTTAAGCGTTTCTTGTTTTGGTTGCGATATTGTTTTGTTTCCTGTGTCTTTTTAAAAGCTACGAGTATTGGGAACTTGCAAGCACCAGGCTGTCTTTTGGACAAGTTACTTTGGAATTTCAATCTGCAAAAGTCTCCGCTGCGGCAAGATTACGGGCTTTGCAATCTGCAGGATCCTGCCCCTTGCCAAGCCTTAGTTGCTTGGATATCCGAGCCATAGTGACATAGTGTTTGTTCTGGGCATGTCAAGTGTGTCTGAGCCGAAGGATCACTGAGCTGGCACACACATGGTGCGCGGGGCAGCGTGCGAGAAACTGCGTGTGAAGCTGGTAGCATGCAAGGACGACAAGGCAAATCGTTTTGGGTACGCTGCTTGGGTCACTTGCCCTAACTCGGGAAAGTTTGAGAACTGTGCAGCCTTCTGTGGTTTGCTTCAAGATCTGCATCGTTCGGGCGAGAGAGAGCAGAACAAAGGAGTATCACAACACCCAGTGCAGGAATTCTGCAACTGAAGTCTGCGGGTGCCGGCACTTATTTGTCCAGCCTGTCCAGATGATCTCAAGAATATGTCAGTCTGCGATACTGGATATGGGACGGCCTTGGCCTGTGGCTCTGCGACAGCTGGACCACGAACCTACGTGGTGTCGAACACACGGCCTGCGCAATCCACAACCCTTTGCTCTCGCATAAGACGCCGACGTTATTTGGCCACGAGACCGCAAACTGCGGCAGGCACAAACACCCCTCTGGAACCGGTAGCCGATCGGAGCTTAACAGCGACGTCCGGCTCAGCGCGAACGTAACCGACAAGAGTGCGACAGTGAGAGTCCTGAGACTCCTGCCACTGGGCCCCCCAAAAAGTCGGCGACTGGGACTCCGACCTGACTCGAAAGGGCCTTGACAACCTCAGCCGGAGAGTCCTTGCGGTTGTCCCAGAAGAAAGTCCTGTAGTCGCCAGGGGCTACCACACCGGGAAGTTTGGGAGCCGTGTTCGCCTTCACACTCTTAACAGGCAAAGTCCAAGGGCTTTTAACCTTGCTGACTTGCAAAAGCCCCACGTCCTCCCATGAAGCTTTCTGTAGCTCCGGGTGGGACACGCACGAGTAAGAAAAGTAGCAGTGGTGCGGAGGGCCGACCAGTAAGCACGGCTGTCAGGGGCTGCACGACTCCGAAAGCCTTCCAGCACAACTTCGAGTCCTTGCCTGAGCTGGCGTCTGAGGGTGCCCAACGAGACCAGCCTAGGAGAGCACTCCGCAACCCAGTCCTGAGCTTTGACAGCCCACAGCTTGGGCCGCTTAGGCCCCTCAACTTGCTCAGCCCCCATTAAACTGAGCATCCGGTTGAAGTCGGATGGGGTGCTGTGCCAGACCCCGGGTCCCGACCGGTGAAGCGAGGAGGCCTCAAACTCCGGCCAAGACCTAGGGGCCGTGTCCCACCACCACGCACCTGTGGTAGGTTCGCCGTAGGTGTAAGGCCAGCCTTGCTGCCACTCTTGCATAGGCTGCCTAGCCTCCCCCAAACCTGCGGAAACCTGCGGTGCGCCAACGTGTACTGAGCTCCCAGCTTCCGTGTCTGCCCGAAACGCGTGCGGCCAACACGACCCTGCACTGCAGCAAAACTCTCTCAGGCCGCAAGCCGGTAACAGGAGGCTCACGACCAGCCTTGCGTCGCAGCTGTCTTCGCTTGCGTCGTCGTCTCAGAAGGCATCTAAGCCTGGAACTAGAAGGAACGCGGACCTTGTGTCCGTCACAGACCGGCATCCTCTGCTTCAAGGGGCACGGTTTGCAAGATTCCCCAAAACCAGACAGCCAGCTCCACACATCCAGAAAGCCGATCCTAGTCAAAGACCAGACTAGAAAGGGCACTCCCAAAAGTAAAACGTGCAAGGTTTTTTTGCAAGCGCGCGACTCGTCCTCGCTCTCCCGGAAGCCAAAGATTGCAGCAGGAGCGTCGCCAGATCAAGTCGCCTGCGCGATGCAGAAAAGGCAACATCTCCGTGCCAAGTGTCGTTGCCCTGCGCCCATGGCACCGAGCCCAGCAAAGAGTTATTCATGACGGGGGCCCCAAGCTGCGGGCCGGTAGAAGTCTCCGCGACAAACAGGTCGGAAGAGCAAGTGTGGGTAGCACCCACACCCGAAAGCATCACCAAGGTGATGACAAGGCGAAAGGTCAAGGAGGGGAAAGGCAGCGGCCGCCCCTGACCGAAAGTCTTTTTATTGAGAGGGATCCTTTCTAAGGTGTGCATCTTGTCTTGATGTCTTGAGTGGGCATGACAAGCCTCTTCTGCAACATCTTGTTTGTTCTTGCTTCTGCCCAGTGGCCAGTTAAAATTAGCGGGATCTTCAAGCTGTTCTTAATATTACTTGACTCTCTCACAGATCCTACTTGCAACTTTCACACCGGCGACATGGCCTCATGCTGCCCATGTCGTAGGCCCGCATGCACTCCGAGGAATCAGCTGCCACGTATGCAAGTCATAGCATGATGTAAGTAGCGTCAAATAAATGTCAGGATGCTGACGGTTTTGCGGGCATCGAACTGCAGGCAAGCACTTTGCGGCAAGAATCATGCCCTTCAATCGGCCCGTTTTGTTTTGGCACATCCAGCCACAGCGCAGGCCTTGCAGTCTGTGAACACGCACGGGCTTCTCACCGGCAAACGGGAACAGGCAAATGGCGACACTTTCTTCAGTTCGTCACACGTGCATGTCACGCGCTGCCGTGTTATGGCACGGACAAGGGTAGGATCAGAGGGTCTCGGTGAAGAAGTTAGCGATAGGGTCAGATAGATTCTCCCAAGTTGCACAGAGCCGAGAAGCCGCTGCGAGCCCAAATGTAGCAGTAAAGAACCGGTGCAACATATACCACGGCTGCTTTTCGAGCGCTTTGCAGGCCATATCCACCAAAAGCTCCACCGTTTCCAGGTGCAGGAGCGCCATGCGTCGACGGATACAGAAGACTTCAACACAAAGCTTCTGCGGTGCCTATTCAGCTGAAATCTTGATGTCAGGTAGGGGTGTTTCATTTTTGTTTGATTTGGGCTCACACCAGGCCACCGCGTGCACTTGCACTTGTGGGTAGACTCATAAGTCAGGGAAGCCAAGAAGAAAAGCCCCGAAGCCAACAAGTTAGAATGTGCAGAAGCAAGAAAGCCATGAAGCCGAGAAGCCAAGAAAGCCAGGAAAACAAGAAGGAAAGCCCAGAAGCCAAGAAGTTGGAAATGTGAAGAAGCCGGGAGCCGGGAAGCCAAGAAGCCACAAAGTTGAAAACCCACGAAGGAGAGCTAAGAACCAAGAGGCCAGAAAAGGAAGGAAAGCCCAGAGGCCAAGAATCCAAAGCCGAAGAAAACTAAACTTAAAAAATTTTTAAACAATCAATCCGTGTGGAAACGTATGCCCCCAAGCCTGGACCCTACAAGAGCATACAGAGAAGCCCTGCAACCGCCCTGAAAGACCCAAACAATGAAGCAAAGCCTAACATGTCCTAACCCTACACCCTAACACCCAGCCCTAAACTCCAACCCCAAACCCTAACCCTCACCCGAAACCTTCAATCCTAACTCCAAGTCGTAACTCTAATCCCTGAGAGCTGTATTCAGGTTCCTCTTGGAAGCAGGCCTGCCTCCAAGAGTGCCGGAAGAGGCACGCAAAGCATAGATGCCCATCTCTTTGCCATATGTCTGGTCTTTAGGGTTCCTAGGTTCTGACGTCATGGCTTACGCTTCGGGGTTCGGGAACGGCTGATTTAGGGTGCAGGGCTTCGGGTCAAAAGCCTTTGGCCCTAGAACTCGGCAAGGGGCTGGCCAGGAACAAACTGACAAGGATTAGGAACGACCCTGGTGAATGACAGTAGGTCGGGAAATCAAAATCTGGCACATGCAGAGAGGGAGAGACAGACATTTGGAAGCTACATCTAGGGAGAGAGCGAGAGAGACAAAGAGAGAGTGAGAGAGAGGTAAGCAGTGCTAGTGAGTGTACAAGCTTGGACAGGGATTCGTGACTTGCTGCGCTGCAAGCCGGCTGGCATCGGATCACACAAATACGCACCATGCCACGCTCTAGCGGATCCGAATACAAAAGAGCTCGTTCGGCCTTCACGAAATGGGCGGGTGTGGAAGCAGGCTTAGCACTACTTTGATGACAGCAAGAGATAGGGGAGACTGGTAACGACAACTACCAGTAGCTACCATCATCGTAGAAAGATCATTATTACAGGAAGACTGGCACAGGTTGCAACCATCATATCCCGAAAGAATGAGACTCGCCCGAAGGTTTTGGCTTCGGGGCTTGTGCAGGTTCTTCGGCATATCAAGGCGATTCTGACAAGCCCCCACCTCTGACTCCTAATGCCTAAACCCCTAAAACCCCCAAAGCCCTGCATCGATTTTTCTCTCACAGCTCGTCACGGGAGCGAGGGCGGTATGTGGAAAGGATCGCGGCTGAACCATCCTCGAGCTCATGAACCTGGCACGGGCCTTTTCATCGAGGTCTCGGTCTGGGAGTTTGTTGTTGGGGTGCCTTTTGCCAACTGCGCTTATGTTGGGGATAGGGCTTTCGCTTGTGAGTTTGGCATTGCTGACTGTACTGTCGAAACGTCAGCTTGTCACCGTGAATGAACTGCTCGGAAATTTACCCTGGCGGATGCGGAGCGTCGTCTACGAACCGTCGTTTACTGGCTGGACATCCTGCAACGAAGGGGTCTCACGAACAGGAAATGCTAGGTGAATGAACCCTGACGTGACGGCCAAGTGAGCCCAGACACAGCAATCACAGCATTGCATCATAGGCTTCAAACCGACAGAACGACAAGGTGCCCGGACGCGAAACCTTGACATGTGCGGGCCTCTGTGATTTGAATAGGGTTTGGGGCATCTTTGTCACTATTGATTATTCAGACCACTATATTATGAGGAGCTGTGGCAGAACGATTGTAAACTAGCTGAGCAGCGGATCTGAGTGCGCCAAGAGCACGTTGAAGTCTAGGCTGTCACATTCTCTTCTCTCCCATGCATCTTTGCATGTCTCATCTCAACCCGAAGCTGAACCCGGACCAAGAAACAACTGGGCCGCCGAAGGCCCTAAAGCTCGTGACTGGCCTGGTTGTTGAAGCTGCGGTTTCCGAGACCCATAAGATACCTGTGCGGCTGATCGGGTAACAGGAATGCCAAGGTAGCGGGTTCCCGAAAGGCTTGGCTTTGCCAGGCATTTTTTGCTTCATGCCTTGGGGTTTCGGGTTGAGGGTTTTTCAGGCCCAGGCTCGACTGCTTCAGTGTCCCACAGTGAGCTCCCCCCATCCTTAGGGTTTAGGGTTTAGGGTTTAGGGTTTAGGGTTCAGGGTCTCCTCAAATCCCTCAACATCGTATTCAGCGTCTGATGCAGGTCTCAGTTGGGCGGGAGAGGCGAGAGTCCCAAGGCCAAGCCGGCAAGAGCGAGGTGCAATGCCCCGTTTCCAAAGACCCTAAAGCGGTTTAGGGTTTAAGGGTTTAGGGTGAGGGTTTAGAGTTTAGGTTTTAGGGGCTAACCCTTGGACCCTTAGCCTAAACCCATAACCTTAAACCCCTGCAACCAAGACAGACCCACACCAAACCCACCAAGCCTGCCGGTCGCATCGTGGTCGCTGCCGGGTCCATGTGCTGACACCTCGAATTTCTGCCCTTTGGGCTTGTCCAAAAAACCCTTAAGCCTTTGCTTGCTGATAAAAAGAACAGTGATGATGAGAATAATGATGAAAAAGATATCAACAACCATCTTGGCAATACTAATCACTCATAGTTTAATGGTGGCCACTAGCAGAAAAGTCAAAAAAATACGACAGTGTGTTCTCTGTGTGCTGCAACCGCTTCTGCACTGCCACAGTTGCGGTTCTTGCTTCCGACACATGTCGAACACTAAACCCTAGACTCTAATCCCTAAAGCCTAAACCCTGAACCAAAACCCCTAAACCCTAAACCCAGAAAGCAACAACTGGCGAGATGCAACGAATGCAAAAGTAAATGCAGCAAGACAGTCTACTTGCTGGCAGATGTCACAGCCAACTCAACAAGGCCCCGGCGACGGTGCCGTTGTGCAGCAAGCCTGTCTTCATCAAGGCCTTCGGCACACGAACTGAAACCCTAAATCTAGCCCTCAACCTTGCCAACCCATTAAACCCGAAAACCCGAAGCCTTCAGCATGATAAACACAACCAAGAAAAAACACTGCCTCTTAGCTTCTGCTCTTGGCCTCTGTCCGGCAATCCAACAAAAAACGACGCTTTCACAAATGCATGTTGGTACGTCACTGTAGGTGTGTATGTAGGTCTGTATGTACATGTATACTGTATACCGTATGAGTGTATGGATGCATGCGAGCACGGTGGGAGTGTAGTCATGGCGGTTTCCTGAGTGGTCAAGGCCCTGCCTTTGTGGGCTACTTGATGCACCAAAACACAGAAACAGAGCTGCGGGCACGCAACAACACCCGGCGGCTCGGGTAACCAAGTATTGCCTGCAACTCATCGCTCTGCTTGTCTCGGCTTCCACCTGCAAATCGTAGGGCGGCGTTTGCGGCTGAGGGTTTAGATTTTTCACTGTCGACTGCATGGTTTAGGATTCAGATGTAGGGTTTCGGGGCTCGGATGAGGCTGATGAAGGTTGGGGCTCAACTGCACCTGCCTCATGAAGAGCTGATTCTTGCCCACCACCCGAAAACCAAAACCCTGGATATGCAGAAAACCCAACCTTGAGACATGAAAAACACTGTAGCACCAGTGTAGGATGTAGCCGAAGCCCCGAGCAAAACACATGCCGAAAACTGGGAAACAGTTGGGTCAGGCCGGGCAGGGCAAGGGTTCGGGGGTTGTGCAGAGAACATGGTCGGAAGCAGGAACTGCCAAACAGCCTTCTCGCATGGAAGCCCTGTCGCACGTGACCACCAAGACTGCGCGTCACCCGAAACCCTACGCTCTGAAGCCTAAACTCTTATCCTGCACCCTGAACCCTAAACCTTAAAGCTACCCGATGAAGGGACCTCATATGCCAGATAAGGACTTGCGATTAACATGTGCTGGCTCCGGTTGGAGCCTCTTTAGTGCTTTGGGGCTTGGGGTTTTGTGTTTACGGTGTAGGGGGGGCGAAGGGTTAGGCAGTTAGGCTGCTTGAAAACCTAAAACCCCTAAGCCTCAATCCTCGACCCTAAATCCCGCAACCCTAAGCCCTCAACCCCAAGTCAGTCTTGAACCCCTAAACTCTTAAAAACTTAACCCTCAACCCAAAACCTCTAAATCCTCAACCCCCAACGCTTGAAAGCAAATGGCCCTAAAGGCCTGACAGCACCACCAGGTCGAAGTCAGGAAGCTCGTAGGTCTTTGCGGCCGGCACGGTTTGGGGTTCAGGGTTCGGGGTTTAGGGCCTAGGGTTTTTTTGAAGGCCTTTTTCTGATGGGCCTAGGGTTTAGGGCGCAGGGTTCGGGGTCTGAGGGTCAAGGTTGAAAGTTTAGGGTCTTGGGGTTCACCCCAGGCAGGTTCAAGAGGAGACATCTCGTATTTGGGGTTTGGGTTCAGGCTTTGGGCTTTGGGATTAATGGTTTCAGGGTTCTGGGTTTTGGGGCCCAGATTTGTTGAAAGCTGGGACGGTTTGCCAAATCTTCTTCGTCAACATCAGCCACGTCCACTTGTGTCCTGTCCCTTCACGACTGACGGTACAGCAAAAAACTCGAGCAGTGTCTACAGCGATCGTGAAATGGGAGTTTCCGAAAATTAGGGTACCTTATTTTTGGGTCCCTATAATAAGGATCCCAATATTAAGGGTACTATAGTAGGGTCCCCTATTTTCGGAAACTCCCAAATATGACGGAGTTGTGACCAGCGGCGATCCAAACCAGGACTTGGAACGGTTGGGACGGGCCCGTGTTTCGTTGCTTTCCGGGCTTCACGGCTTAGGGTTTGGGGCCCCGAATCATACGCCCCCCTAAACCCTAAACCCTAAACCCTAAACCCTAAACCCTAAACCCTAAACCCTAAGCCCCAGCGTGCCATCTGAAGCGGAAAGGCCAGCCTCCTGCAGAGATTCCAGCGTCTCGGCCAGCGGTGTTCGGTCGGAGGGCACCAGAGGCAAGTGCCTGGTTCTGCTAGGCTCAGATTTTGGGCTGTTCCGGCGAGGGGGTGAAGCTTCATGATTTTGGATATTCGAGCCTTTAGGACTTGATGCTGCTCGGGGCTGTGGTTTCTGGAATGGTCGGCAGATGCAGGCTTGAGGCATCTATGGGCGTTCTTATTCAGGGATCACCTGCGCAGCACTGTAGAAGTCCCTAACAGAGTGACCTTCGAAAAAAGACATACCCTGCAGAATCTGATTATATTGAAGTACATTCCTATATTATATTACAAGTATATTATACTATACTGTACTATATTATACTATACTATGTTGTATTAGTTACATCATATTCTAGTTTTTGTGTTTGGAACAGCCCAAACATGGCGCAGCGTGCTCGGTGGCCTGACAATGTCGGTGTGCTCCTCGCCGACTGCGTGGAAGATGAGCTGGCTGCCTTCACAAGCCCTAAACCCTAAACCCTCAACCCTCAACCCTAAACCCTCGAACCCTAAACCCTAAACCCTAAACCCCTAAACCCCTAAACCCTAAACCCTAAACCCTCCATCGAAGGCGACGATAGCCCAAAGCAC